TGCAAGAGCCAGTATACAATTTTTATTTTCTAGTCCAGCATTGCAGGCGTTAGGTCATGCTGCTGGTAAGTAAGCCTTCTCCTAAGAGGAGAGTGGCATGTGGCGTGACGCATGTTTGTACCGGATCGCACTGGCCCTGGAGGGAGTGGGAAGGCAAAAGGATTTCAGGCTTATTTTTAGAGGAACTAGCTTTTTAATGGCAGCAGAGGCTCTCACCTATACAGGATGAGGTCACTGTTCTCTTTTATTCCCACTTTCAGATGCTTTTGAGCGGAACCCCTACATTTAGTTTTGACTGATTTTTATCGCATGGGTCCATTTTTTTTTCATGCTCTCCAACATCTTTCATGATGTTCCAGTAATATACCTTACAAGGGAGATTATATAATGTGTGTATATAAACAATGTACCAGTCCAACAAGAGACATAACTTTTGCATACAAGTGAAAGTATCTCTTTGGAGATTCCCATAGGAATCGACACCTGTTGGGCTCTTTCCGAAAAGCCATCCCAGCTGACTTGGGGAACGAGGCAGCACCTTGCCCTGGACCAGGTACCAGGGACAATATCTCTGCTAGGAAGGAGGAAACTAGATTCAGGCTGAGCAAACACTGGGAGATGTGTAGTATTAACTGCCACACCACTGACCCACCCAGGATAGAAATGATGATTAGAAAAAAGTAACTAATTCTTGGATGCAGGGCTGTACATCAAAACTTATACATCAAGAAACTGAATTGCCACTTTCCATCCTACAGCATATGCATGTATTACATTATTATTGTCTTTAGAACCCAGTGCATTTCTATGTTTTGCGTTAGGTGTTGTGAAATATCTCTTGTACAGACATTTTAGTTCTTTAGCTACAACTCTGACTGCTACTTCAGTTCCTTGTGTTTTGGTTTTGTGAGTCTGGCTCTTTGCCTCTCTTTACTATCGTGTCAACATGAACATGTTTTGTCCGCTGTGGTCTACCCTATAGGCCTGACAGGTCTCCACCCTCCCTGGCTTCTCCTGTTCAGCACACTTGGGCAGGTTGGCTACAGACGTGCTTCAAACGGATAGAATGTACCATAGGTTTATTATATATTATAACCTGCTTGTATAATAGGTTTCAATTTCAATGTCTGTTCATCATTCTTAACAGTCCATGTGACAAAAGGCAATGTTACATCTTTTTTTTCCGGACACCAACAAGACATGAACAAAATCTAAAACTGGCCAGTCTGCTACCCCGCCTGAAGAAAGTGTAGAAACTCTCTGAGGAGGGGTCACTGATGATAACACCCACTGTAACACCATCCCTTGCTTTGAGTAAGTGCATAATTATGAAGACGTGAGTGATATACTGTATATTTTTCATAGCCCAAGACACCACACTAAAACAAAAGAAATCCCCTTCAATAAATGCCTATGAGTCTGTCCTTGGTTTATCACTCACTCCTCCTGCCTGTCTCCTTGAGGCACTGTTTTCTCCAGATTAGTACACCAGTCACTCCATTTCCACAAAGCTGTAAATCAGCTCAATAGCTTACAGAAGGAATGATCCTACTGTAAAGTGCGCTAAAACCACTGGGCTCCATTAGGTGGGTGTTTTTTTTTTCCCCAAAGTGAGTCCTCATTCTTCATCTTTACCAGCACTTATTGAGGACTCTGTAATGACCATCAAACATATTGCCTCTTGCTGCCAAATAATCCCTGCATGTTCGTGCTACCCGCTGGTTGATGCAAATGCAAACACAGGGAAAAAAAAACAGTAAAAAGCTTTGAAGAATTTTGCATGAAAATGTTTAAAGGGTGGCAGTGTTCTTGGGCTCCAGGGCACATATCCACCTGCACACTGACAATGACAGCAGAGCAAGGGAGGAATACTGGTGGATGTGGCTGCTTTTCAGGTTTCTTCAAATGCTTTGGCCTTCCTTTCTCACCACAATGAGAAATATCGGTGTCTTTGTACAAGCAATGGAGCTTCTGCCACGTTTACAGTACAGTACAGTAGATCTTCAGCTGTTCACAGGCTTGGCACTGTCTTCCTTGTAGTAAGAGCGTACCTGACCTCACACAGTCACAGGTCATAGTCCTGGGGCTCAGAGAGTGTCATGCACTGGCTGATGAAGGTGAATTGCCTTGCAAAATATTTACCATGTTTAAATGTTCGTCAGTGTGCCAGTGGATCAGAGTAAATATTACTGTCAGTTTCTCTTCTGCAAACTTTTAGAAGGTCTTCTGTACCAATATATGGCTAAACATCATTAAATGGCCCTTTTAAGGGTGACCTGGGACAGCTTACTGGTTAGTGATGCTGACTCTTCTGATCCCCCTACATCTCTCTGCTGCCTTTAACTTCATTGATCATGTCTGTTACTCTTTCATTTAAGTCTCCTCAGAAAATCATTTACCAGCGGTGTGCCACAGGGTCTGGTCCTGGGCACTATAATCATTCTACTTCTGGGTGACCTTCATCAGCTTTAGCTTTCCTTTTTTGAATATAATGTTAAACAACATAAACTTTTGTTTTAATTCTAAGAAGAAAATTATTTATCACATAATATACTTCATATAATATTCCTAAAGTGTACCGTGTGTTTTCACTTCTTCGTACAGCTCCTGATTGAACAATCAATTCTAACAATTACCTGACTATGATTTCAACAGGTTCAGACAGGTGTTAAACTACCCGAGAGTGAATGTAAATGAGGAACTTTACAGTACGTATGACACCCAGTCCATCCCACTCTCAAACTCTCTCAAATGTCTTCCAATCAGGTCTTGAAAGAAACCAGGGTATCAGTTTTGACAACATGGCCACACCTCTTGTTTCATATTCTCACACGCGATTGTGGAAAGAAGGGTCTCCACAAACAACAAAAAGACAGAGCTAACTAGATGGTTTGAAGCCCCTTTAACTGCTTAAAAGAGTTAGACAGTTAATCTGTGTTTAACTGCTACCTGTTAAGACAATCTGCAAATTACTTTAATGGGAATTTTCCAAGTGTGCAATTGCTTTTTTTCCTATAGGTTCAGCTCTTTCTGTGGAAGCAGACGCCCAGAGCTGACATACCTCAGGCTACACTCAGTGAGCCTACTTGCCTGACTGGGTCAACCCCTAAATTTGTATTTATGCCAGATCAAAGCTGGACTTCTTCATGCGAACATTCCTGATATCGCTGTAGTTCACATGAGCCAAAGAGGACCATGAGAGTAATTGTTCAAGGATCTAGTTCGCTGTTGGGAGATTATAGAGGAGATGAAATACAGTACCCTGAAGAGCAGTGATGTACAACTTCATTAAACAATTTTCTCTTTTTCACTCACTCATATAAGGCATTAGAGAAGTAGTGGCTTTCTTCAAGTTCAAGTAGACTTCTTGATCTTATGTTTTCTTAAATCCACGGATCTTATAAAATTAATGCTTCAGCACCTTAATGGGACACTTACATTTGTGTGAAGACCTGGTTTATAGTATTTTTACTGAAGGAACCATAACATTCTCTGATATACAGTATACTGTATGGTTCTGAAATGAGAACATCTTCACTGAAAATTGGGTTAAATATACCCTCTTCATAAAATATCTTGAAATTATAGTATGTAAAGTACTGTTTGGTATTCAACATGGTCTTGCACATAGTTGAAAAATTGATAAATCTATGATTCTATTATTAGAATATAAAATAGTATTTTTGTTTCAATGTACTTCATACCATATCTACTACAAAAAATCCACTCTCCATTGGGATTAAATATATTTTATTTTTTGGTATTATATGGTATTGACCTTTCTCATTTTATTAGTTCATGACCATATTTCAGGACAATGAGCAATAAATAAAGTTAAAAGACCCATGGTTTTGTTTCTCTTAGAACAACTTAAATGACGTTAGCATCTTTCTTGAGGACTGTATTTGAGTAATTATATAAATATACAAATCTACTGCAGTTTCCACCAATAACTATCAGGCAGAAGCAGTGTATTATGATGTTAAAATGAGTGCAATTCCTCAGCAGCGTGATGTAATTCAACAGCAAGATGTCCGAAGGCTACATTACCCCCAATGTACTGCAGTCAAGTCGCTTATCATTCGAGGAAGTTGTGAGGATAAGCAAAGCAGGACTCCAACTTTCTTTACTGAAACAGGGTGAGGCATCACAAATTAAAGATTATTTTAATTGCTACTGTATATGCTGGCATTTTCCTTAACAAGATCTAAAATATTGTGGCGGTAACTTGTTGGAATTCCACCAAAAAGCAAATAAATTGCACCGAAAGTCATACATTGCACTATTAATTGTAGCCCGAAGAACATACTGTAGATCTCAAGGTAAATCTTTCAACGAATCCATTGCAGTGTTTTTTTTTAAAATCAACTTAACTTACAACCCCTTTAAAACGCACGGCTAAACATTTGTGAATGGCTGCATCACCCCTGACATGCAGTAAATCACACGGACCACATACTGTACATTTTAAAAGCACGAGATGCCTGGAGGACGAAGGGGGATTCATCTAGCAAATGACTTCTGTTCAGCGGTTCATCCATAGAATTCGCTGGGGAGCTCGCTTGTTGTGGTGCGAACAGAGCAGGGACTCGCAATACTAAAAGGTTACATCATTGGCGCTTAACTGGTAATCGCGTAATGTTTCATCCCACCTACCATCGCGTAAGGTTTGATAAAACCATAAAGACGTGTGCAGCATATATATATATACACACAATCACAGCATCGCCAAAACAGAGGTGTCACAATTCTTTTTTTCAATGGAAGAAGGCTAGTGCCAGTCCCATCACAAAGACCTCGGGGGTCTAGTTCTAAAATCTCTATTCGGTTTACAAATCCGTGATGCGCCAAACACTTGACAACGTTGAATTAATTTCATCTCGATTCCTGGGCTACCTACTGTATATTAAGACCATGCCTTCATGTAGGAGCTCACTTAAACCGCACATCATCCTTTGGAACATCAGAATTTGTGTTTAAAAGACCAACACCATTCTTACCTTGCTGTTAAAATAAACGCATGTCCATCGTCGGTACTAGGGATCTCTGAGGTGTAATTACGTTTTTTCCACAACCCTGCAGAGCTAGCATTTGGTAAAAACAAAAAACAAACAACCCACCCCGTTATTTTCTTCCAGAATCGAAGAAAGATTGGAAAAATCCTATAGCAGTACAAAGGAGGAGGGGAAGGAGTGAACACACTGTCTGTTCTCTTTGTACATAGTGTTGAAATGTCGGGATTATACAACATGCGGCGATCAAGCCCTAATAACGAAATCTAATTCCTATTCATTGAATGTTCCATCGCACACAGCTTGCCTCCTACACACACACACGCACACAAACAGACCAAACCCATTTAAAGAGATACCAGCATTCATATCAATAATTCATGTCTTCGGGCATCTTGCTATTGAATTACATCACGGTGCTGTGGAATTGCACTAATTTTAACATCATAACACACTCCTTCTCCCTGGCAGTCGCTGCAGTAGAATTTTGCTAACATGACATTTAAAATACGAATTCCAATTAAAGATTACATTTTAATAGCAATAATTTGAAATCGCATATTTAAAGGCTGCATTATGGCTACAGATGTAACGCTGTCCTCTGATAGTGCAAAATGGATTCATCATATGCGATCTCTAATCATGGCCTCGCATGTCTCATGATTGCTTGTCTTGAGAAGATCCATATCCTTTCAGGGCTAAAGATTTATGCAGGCTCTGCAGCATGGAACATTGTGTAATGCTATAGTGTAGTAATCCTTGCAAGACATCTCAGTAGAAGACTGCTTAAATTTTGAGTTGCTTAATTTCAGAGTGCATTTGCTTCATTCCACTCTCGAGGACACTACAGCATACAGCCTCCTGAGGCAGACTATTATTGAGATCTCTGCTGGTGTGTCACCTATAATCTCTAAGAATTACAGAACACAAACAGGATTACGCTGATTGTGATGTTGCTTTCTCTCTTTCACTTGATCGTCCCAAAGCACCAATGCAAATATACAGTATATTTATGATGTAGAACAGCAGTAGTATTTCTATCCTAGCGATAGTTGGACCAGTGCAGGTTTTGGTATTGGTGGAGCATATGACTGTACCAAAAGTGTCAGACTTCCTAAAGTGTTGGGCAACTCTTCACACACCCCTCACTTTCAGAAACCAGGGACTCAAGCTAATTTTCTACATTGGATACATGTAGGATGTTCTCTGAATCTTTTACAGTTGATTACATAAGACATTCACTTCATTGAAGGTACAATTGACTATACTGTACATCACTTGCAGCCTGCTTAGAAGTATTACAGTTATGCAGCTGATCAAATAAGTAGACCAACTATGCAATGTTGACTAAGGGTTAAACACAAACCAGAAGACTCTCCAGGAACAGGGTTTGAGACCCCTACTCTAAAGTGTGTTCAGTATAGTTTATCATTCCACTATCTTGGAAGGGTCATGGCTCAGAAATGTTCACCTAAAACAGCAAGACTCTTCTGAAACATCATGCAGCATGTCCCCGATATACATGCGTAAAAGCCAGCGGATTTTTAGAATCCTGATAAAGAAATGTGAGCCTTGAAGTTGGCCGTCTACAGGGCCTACCAACGCCTTTGTTGTTAGATCAGTGTATTTTGGCGCTGTGTGATTTTTAAGACTATCTGAGGCTCCAGAAGCCCTCACACGCAAAGATTAAGGGTGCAACAGAATTCCTTGGCTGTTTGTGGTGGCCCCTTATTCCTGCCCATAGCTTGGATGTCTTTGCAATGTCCTCTTCTTGGCTTGTTATGGTTTAAATCCTATAGCACAGAACTCTGCGGCCAATCCAGACGAAGGCAGAAATATAGCCCATCCACACATCCTCTTTAATCTAAAGATTAAATAACCTGGGGTTGAATATGCCATTTATTTACCCACCTTGTCCCTCCCCCAGATTCCCGGAAAACATATTTCCACATGCCTGGTTACCTGCTGCTAGCAATAATCCATACCCTGGAATCCTTCAGGGCTACCTTTACATAGTTTGTTTTGTATGCAGCGAGCATCCTGTAACACTCACCACAGAGAACCAGAGAGCGGCCGAGAGACACAGAGCTTTCTATTTATAGCTCACACAGTCTGTTCATTCTCCTCCCCCCCTTCTCGCTGGGCAGTGCTACACAACAGATTGAGAAATCCTATACGCCTATTAGAGTCCTGCTCTCAGTCCCACAGCATCAATAATAGAGGGATGTTTTTTAGAGGGGAGAAGAACTGCACCTTTTAAATAATTCACGACTGGCTGGAACCTTAGTTGGCACAGCTGAAAGAGAGGGGTCGGCTGTGTGCTTTCTTTACTGCATGTGTGTGCCGTTCTATGTCTGTGAAACCGGGGGGGGGCACGGTTTTATTTCTGGTGAAAAGGACATGTTTGTGTCAAATGAGCACCATGCCAGGAGCCATCACATTGTGAGGAGAATCTAAATTTCAACGCGCTGCATTGAGCCATTTTGGAAAAACTATAGGGCGCTACTGTAGGCCCACTTCTTTCAAGAGAGGTGCATGTTCATCTGTAGAGCGAAACGCACAAACTCATTTTGTGCTAGGAAGTATACGGTTGTACTTTATTCCAATGCTATTAAAGAGTTTTGCTGTCCACGCAATAATAGATTTATTCCGGTTTTCCAAGCTGTTTGAGTCCAGATCTAATTCTACTGGTTATTATAGTTTCAAAGCATCATAAAACAATGTTGAGGAATTCATCACAATAACATGTGTGTTACAGGGGATACTTCCTTGCAGTGGTTATAATTTAATTAATAAAGTGTTTAGTCAATAAAACCAATGCAGTTGCTTTATTTCTCTGTCTCCGGGCTACAGATAAGACATTTTTGAGGTTGTCCTGAACTCCAACATAAGTTCGCTGCGACTCCTACATCCGCTCCCCTGCAAAATCTTCTGTTTATCAATGACATCGTCTGGTTTTGATTATACTATAATCTGAACCAGGGCTGTAACATTCTTCTGCAATGGCGGTGAGGGAGACCATCTGGACACGAACGCATCATTCGTTCGCAAACTTTCACCCTGCTTCTTTGCTCCCGGAAACAACTGGGAAGCGATTATGGATTTGTGAGGATTCCGTGTTTTCTGTCGGAGTCGTTTTGCAGACCCGCACTGTGATCCCTTGTTTGTTTCTTTGAAAGCTGTACAAGAGGCCGGCACCTTTTTGTCTTCCCCTGTTGGCTTGATTTATTCTTGAATGCTGTGACCGTGCTCACTTGCTGAAAAAGCCCAGCGGGCAAGCAGGGGCGAGGGTGGCTGCCCGCGGGCAGGACTGATGCCCCGGCACTGCTCTCCCTGGCTGCAGTGTGGGCAGCCGAGAAAGAGGAAGGAACGGGACACGATGAGTCTGCCACCCAGCTCAGAGAGCTGGTTAGGAAGGGGTATTGCCCTGGTCCACAGCCATAACCACTTGACTAGACCATGTGGTGGGCGCTCAATGCACAATTTATTAAGCAAACAGATACAGATCAGAGTGATGGCAGCCATCTTAAACTGTGCAAAAACTCTGCATCTCACGCCTCCATGAGTCCAATCTGCTACTTGACCCTGATGTCTTCATGCCCGATTTTTCAACTCTCTAAATTTCATTACTCTACCCTCGCTGTTATAACCCTGATTTGGATCCCTCAATGACATGTCAACATGCCCGGTCTGCCATGATAGCAGTTTGCTTTATTTTGCTAAGCGTCTTGGCCATGACATAAAAAGCCATTCAGCTAGCAGCTCCAAGGACACACTGCACTGCGGATGACTCAGACACAGCCGTTGCCATGGAGATCAGCTTCCTTTGCAAACAGTCTCCTAGTAACTCTGGTTGCCAGGTAACTGCATATATATGTGTGTGTGGGTATCTCAGTGTGCCTGTTGTTATTTTACTTCCACTGGTTTGGACACAAGACACTCTTATTTTTAGATCCTCGTTGTAGAACAATGTCCGGGCTATTTTCTCACTTGTTTCCCTTGAAGAGAGCTGATTCAGTTCAGAGAACCTTCCTGGAAAGTCTGTTTTTAGCAGAGTCAGAAAGCAGTTGGTTCTCGGCCTGAAATGAACACTTTGTACACAAACGATGCAATCTTACCACAAGGTGCTTTGACTCCAGTAAGCACGTGCACGCAAGGCATGCAGATATTAATTGGAGTCATTTTAGGAAGCAGCATGCTCAGAAGGCATCAAATAGCTTCTCACTAGACCACTATTGGATGCTTTTTAAAGACTGCATTATACTCTGCAAGGGAACTTGACAGAATGGCCTTCTTTCTCTGTGACAGTTTATTCAGAGGTTAATTAAAAGTAAATTCCTGATAGTTCCAGGATGTCTTCTTGATAGGGTTCACTGTAAAATGACACCATCCTATATGTTACTTTAATTAAATATCGTGTCAGTTGTGATCATTATATGCTGGGAAAAAAATATTGCTGTTCTGGGATTAATCCAGAGAAGACCGACCAGATACATTCAGGGACTTAAAGGAACATCTGAGCCTTTTTAATCTCTTAGAAAATACTATAAAGGGACCTGGCCTCAAGTATTCAAAATCCTCAAACACACTTGCCAGATCCACCCACTGGCCCCTAGAATTAGCAGCAATCCAGGGCTCAGAGGACACAATAGACAGCTACAGGGGAGTGCGTCTGAAACTGAGAACGCTTTTGCAGAAAGGGTTGTGGGCCTGTGTAATTAATTGCAGGTCTGCAGTTGAAAGGTCATCCACGCAGGCATGCTCAGCTCCAGCAGGGCTTTCTTGCTTTGTGTCGGAGGGATGGAGCCCTGCCTCCCTCTCAGTCTCCTCTCCCGGAGAGCTCCCTGTATAAACAGCTCCGCCTGGGCCGTCTCCCTTGCCCCTGGCGGTGGGGTGAGGGGCTCTTTGGAACCAAGCCCTGGCACACAGGGCAAATGCTCAGAGAGCCGGGCACCATTCTTTTCAAACAGACAAGTAAACAAAGGGCAGTGTGATGCAGGCAGAGCCCCCCCCTCCCCCGGTCTGACAAATGCGATTTTTCTGGCTGGTTTTTCATTCATGCCTCCTGCTCCAGCCCACCCACAGCCCTGTCCACCTACGGCAGGAGCCCCTCTTCCGTGGGATTGACGTCAGCGCTGACGCACGGGGCCCAGACTGGACTGCAGATCAAAGGCAGCCATGCGCAAGGCCCAAGAGGAAGCATGTTTTGCTGGCAGGGAGGGAGGAGGGGGGAGGATAGGGGAGGGAGGCTGGCCTTTGTCTGCCTCTCTAGTTAGCCTGCGGGCCACTATTCCAGGCAGGGCCTCTTGCTCAG